AACATAAAATGAAAGTAAACTATTACTGTTTAAGATAGAAGTTTGAGCTATTTGTAAACCATTATATGTATAAAATAAAGCTACAAAACAGTGACCTAAGAAAAGTCATTGATGCTTTGTATTTGATATGAAATTATACCTAATAGCAGGAGTAGTACAAATATAATAGCCTAATGAATTCACAAAAATGCAACTGTGCTTGTTCACCCCTCAATTAGTCAGTCTATTATCCAAAAACCCTGATTAGCCCAATAATTCTAGCCCTTTAATGGTGTCGGAGGGGAAATGCATTTTCCAGGAAATTATAAAAGTTGTTGCAGATTGAAGACACACTGCTCAATTAAGGCATGTTTTTATGCATTTATTTATTATTTATAATCTGGAAAACCAGTGTAAAAAATGTCTCCCAACAGCAGCCAACAAGTCTATATAGTAAAATTATCAGTACAATGTTCCAGTAATTTGCATAACAAGCCATCTCTTGTTAAATTTTATAGCATCTTCATCCTGAAAAATGGAGATCTTATTAAGATTAACTGTATTCAATATATACAGTACTCTGCACCCAGAGAGAATAACAATAATACTAATCAACATTAAGAGCAAATTAAATGTAGATTGATTATAAATCAATCAGATCAGCAGTCAGCACCTCAAAATTCACTAGATTAACTATTGATAACTTTCGCCGGACACAAAAAAGTTTTCCTATGAATCCTATCGTAATTAAGTCACGTACCAAAGGACAAAAAGGCTAATAAAAGCATATAACTATTTATCCAGACGCTTTTGCAGTTGTTTATACTATAGTCCGAAGGCAAAAAAGTTCAAAAAAGAAAATAATTTGAAAACCGGCTCACCTGAGGCAAGAATAGCTTTCCCGATAAGTGAATTAAGCCATTCACAACGTCATATGTAGAGCAAGAAACAGCTTCTCCATTTACTTTGTCGAACAGGAAAAAGATAAATAATTTTATCTTTTTTAGAGGAAATACGAAAAAAATATATACCGAAAATCAAAAATATTTTTGTAAAAACCAGGAGGGAGACACATAGTTTTTCACTTTGTATCGCGGTATGTCAGTTGTAATTACCATGGGCAAAGGGGACCAGGTGACGTCACAAAGCTCAAAATCCGCCATGTTTGTGGCTTAACTTTCCGATTAGGAGCCGGTCCTCCAGGAATTATTTTATAGCTTAGTGGTTTACTCAGTAATAACACAGATTACCCAGATGCTTACCCACACTTCTGATTAAAAAAGCGTAAGCGCTTGCTTAGCAAGTGACTAGAGGCATTCCCCCCCCGAAATTTCAAAATGGAGTCGAACTATTTTATACATGGAAAAAAACCTCCTCTCATTTGCTAGAGAAGGCGACTGTGTAGTTAAGTTTGTGTCTGAATCCATCATCATCTATACGCGCTTTGGAAAAATGAATTTAGAGTACCTCGTTTTCAATATTGTACGAGTGTTTTATCTTTTTTCGATTGTCGTAGAAGCGGAAAGTTATAAGCAGTAGAAATCTCCATAATTTCAAACATATTTCTTTTAAAAAGTGTTTGAATATCTTTACATTGAATGGAACTTCCTGTACAAATCAATAAATGTACATATATTCCCACTCATTTGACACATCGTGCAGTTTTTCACTTCAATTCAGTTCGTCTCCATTTTGAAATTTTATTTCGGGGGGGGATGCCTCTAGTCACTTGCTAAGCGTGCGCAGAAAGCGATGCGCAGTGACGAATCGCTTACGCTTTTGAGTCAGAAGTGCGACATCTGGGTGTTAATCTGTGGTAATATCGAAGAACTTTTCCGCCAAATTTTTTGTTATGATTTTCGTTAAATGCTCGCAAGCTCTCGTAGTATTCCGAACAGTTGGCGATGATCCGATGATGACGTAGTGTCCTGGCTACTTGCAGAACACATATCGTGAAAATAAGAGGAATATTTTTACAGCAATATTACATGTGCAAAGAAACATTTTCGTTGTTTTGACCTATAAGACCGTTGAAGGATTACTACTGTAAAAATTTCGCTCAATTGTTTTAATAATTGTAGTTCATTAGTGTATTTTAAAAGGCATTGAAACAAAGCAAATTCTGATGTTTCATCCCTTTATTATTTTCCTCTCTCTCCCTATAAATTAATTGTTGCGCCCGTGGTCCAACACATCAGTGCTTAAGCCTCCACGCTGGAGTACTTCATGTACGTTTATAACAAAGTTGCCATTATTTTTTCTTATGCAATTCTTGTAGACTGTTGTCAAATTTACCTCGGAATTTACTTTTTAAATTCAACTGAAAGTTGTTTTTCTCGTCGAATATATTTTTAAATTCAACTGCAAGTCGTTTCTTGTCATTTTTGCAGCATTAGTTTTTACAGCGATATTTTAATAACAAACGCTGAGGCGGGCACCCTGTGTCTGTACATGTTAATGTGACGACTGGCAACAACAGCGTTGATAATAGTGCAATTATTTACCCTCGTGAACATGACAACAGTCATGTTGTCTTGCCGTTAGAAAGACATGTGAAAATATATGAAGAGATAGTGAATTCACTTTCCGAACAACTAGAGAAAAAGAATAAGGAGCTCAAAGAATTGGAATTGTTATTTTAATTGACTATTGGATTTCATGTAGATTGTAAAATATTAAACATGAATAAATCAATGAAACTCGGAAAAATGAAAATTACCGGTGAGGTAGTTTGACGTTATAGGTGACGTTTTCTTACATATTTTTTGAAGTTATAATACTTATTTGGCCTGGTATTGGTAAAAACAACGTGTACGACTTGTATACATCTTGAAATAATTTTTTTTCGTATTATAGTTAATAAAGTATATCGAAAACAACGAGGTTTTGCACAAAATAATTTTTTTTAAAAAAATCCAGAAGGGGAATGTTTTCGAAGCGGGCTCAGATTTGAGCCTGGTTAGTGGTAACTACCATGGACATTTAGGACCATGTAGCGTCAACAGAGCTTCTACGCATGCGCAGAAGGGCGAAGTCCGCCATGTTTTCGGCTTCAAAAAGATGGCGGCGAAGTTACCGAAAAATGACGAGCCGGTCCTCCCGGAATTATATTAGGGACCTTAAGATTCTACGACGCGGTGATTCGCGACGCGCTGCCGGAACACGAAGGCACTGGGGAGAGCAACATTCTGTACGCGGTGGCGTCGCGTTTAAATATCCTTAAAGGCGGATTTCCACTTACAGCGAAATCGTTCGCTAGGTAAATATTTGCATATTTTCTTTTGAATTTTAACAGTATAAATAAATTAGTTCGACTTGACTGTTCTCAATTCAAGAGAAAATATGCTAATGTTTCGCTAGCGAACGATTTCGCTGTAAGTGGAAATCGGCCTTAAGATTTACTGTACTTTCCGATAACGCGAACTTGAAATGTGCTCGTTCAAGAAAGCTAGAAATGATGTTATTTTAGCCTATAAATCTTCTTACATTGATAACTTCGAGTTTGTCGTTTTACACGATATCGTTTGCCGTGGGAAAAATCCGGAACTGCCTTTTAAAGACTATGATAGTTTCTCTCTGGAAGAGACAGATGCGGTTGAATGCAAGGTGAATTTCAGGTTTGAAAAAAACGAAATTCCAGTTTTGGCTCGTGCTATGGATATGCCCAAGAAATTCACTTGCGCTCAAGGAATAATTTGTGGAGGAATTGAAGGACTGTGTATTCTTCTTCGACGGTTTTGCTACCCTTGCAGATATAGCGACTTAATACCACTCTTTGGGCGACCAGTCCCGGAGCTTAGCATGATATCCAATGAAGTGGTCGACTTCGTTTATAGAAGGCACGGGGAGAAGATAACGAGGTGGAATCATCAATTGCTGAACCCTCATTGTCTTCAACAATATGCTGATGCAGTGCACCAAAAGGGAGCGGCATTAGACAACTGCTTCGGCTTTGTTGATGGCACGGTAAAAGCAATCTGTCGTCCTGGGGAGATGCAGGCATTAGTTTACAATGGGCATAAGAGGGTCCATGCTTTAAAATACCAGTCGCTTGCCCTACCAAATGGTCTCATTGCAAACTTGTTTGGACCTGTAGGTATGTAAACATTTTGACTGACAAATTTCAAACGTTTTGTTAGCTGGTGATATGATGGCATATCTCCACATTTTTTTCTCAATACCTTTTGTAACAGCCAAAAGTCTGCAATATAGTTTACAACACAGTTAGAGATTATAGACTTAAATGCTTTTTTTAAACATCTATCATCAAATCTGCAGAGGGAAGAAGGCATGATGCTGCTATGCTTATGGATTCTGGACTTCTGCAAGACTTAGAGCAGTATGCACAGGTAAATGGTTACCCTATGTGTCTTTATGGTGATCCTGCTTATCCTCACCGTGTGCACCTACAGGTACCATACAGGGACCGTCCACTCACACCAGAAATGGAAGCTTTCAACAGGTCCATGAGCAATGTGCGTGTTTCTTTTGAATGGTTGTTTGGGGATGTTGTTAACTATTTTAAGTTTTTGGACTTCAAGAAAAACCAAAAGATTGGTTTAAGCAGTGTAGGCAAGATGTATATTGTTGCTGCAATTTTGAGAAATGCTCTTACATGCATGCAGTCTAACACCACTTCAAAGTTTTTTGAACTTGAACCACCTACTGTTGAGGAGTACTTTTCTTAATGATGCATGACACTGTATATATATTCAGAGAATTATTTCAACAAAACAATGGAAATCATTGAAATACATAGTGGTAAAACTACAGAATTATTTTATTAACATACTATTCAAAACTCAATCAAAGAACATGATATTGGTTTGAGATTTTGACATAAAATATTATGATACTGTAAATATTTAACATTTGAATATAACATTTTTGAGTAATGCATGTAAAATATCATTTAAATGTAATATAACATAAATTTGTAAATTGTTTAAATATAATTATCATATATTGGTAAAATAACATTTCAATGTACAGTAGTTAATGTAATTTTCATTAAGATCAAATTGTAAGATAAATTGTGCTTGTAGAATATTTTTTACCAAACTCAACATTAGTTTTTTCACAAAACTGACTAATTTATCACAACAACATGTCTTTGTTAGCAGGTCTAATTCTCTTTATCAATAATCTTTGACAAAAGAGCTATTAATGCCTGCCCCTGTTGTTGCTGTTGCTGCATTAAAACCATTTGGCTTGCTTGTACCTGATTATTTTGCTGTCGTTGCATTTCCAAAATAGAATTCAACATGTCATTCTGTTGCTGCATGAATTTTTCTGTTTTTTCTTTTTCCATTTCCAGACGCTCCCTTTCTAATTTGTTGCTCTCTTCTTTCAGTTCCCTTTCTTTTTCTGCCTTTTCTGCCAAAAATGCCAAGGCTGTATCAGCACCCTTTCTGATTTTGCATTTGGGAGCATGTTGATCTTTTCCAGCAGCATTCCTCACCTGGGTCTCAGATAACGTTTCCATGGCTCTTTTTCGTATTTCTTGTGCAGCCATTTGATCTTCTTCTAATCGTCTTTTTTCCTTTTCTCCCATTTCTGCAGCCAGGGTTTCAGATGCATGCTCTCTTTCACAAATCTCTTCCAGCAATGTGTCCAATTCTGTTAATTCAGGTGAAATACCACTAGCTCGTCTTTCCTCATTTTCCTTTTTTCGAAACTGTTTCATTAGTTTTTTCAATCTGTCTCTAACAGAGCGTTGCTCTACCTTGAATTTAGGATATTCTATTTTTTCCAAATTTTTAGCAATAGACTCCCAAACCAGCGCTCTTTCTGCTGACCTTTTTTTTGTTTCAAAGAGCTTGGAAGCAACAACCTCTTTGCAAAATTCCACATCATGCTGAGTAGTCCATTTCATTATAAAACAAACTCTGCAATGTTAAATGAATAAAAGAAAAAATGAGATGAATGGTATTTAGAGAAAAAATTGAAATATGCATTGAGTAAAAATTTAAAATCGAGTTTGAAAAGCAAAGGAGTGTACTTTACAGTAATAAATTACAGACAATTAAAAAACAACCACACGCGTTACATAATTATAAATTTTGTAATATTAATAAACTAAAAAACTGACAGCACTTACCCGGACTTGAAACCTTCCTTTCCTTCTAACGGCACAGTACTTTTTGTCATTTTTTTCTTACTTTTTTAGACAATCTACGACGACGAGAAAACTCCAAAACGGCGTCGTCGTAGATAAACTTCCCTGAGCAAAAACGCACACGCATGCTCAGTTTGTGCAAATTTACTTCCGGTGGCGTCGCGAATCACCGCGTCGTAGAATCTTAAGGTCCCTATTATAGCTCAGTGATGTCGCCTTACTTCAAGGTAAATGAACCTCTTGCGGAATTGCAAAGGATTATGGTAGTTTAGTTACACGGCAGAATTATCCATCATGGCCGCTTGCTGTGTTGGAACAGACAAAAAAACTTTTGATGTGAAAATTTACGGAAAACTTTTATCATTTTGACTTCGGTTAAAGTTTTTTTCAATTCTGTACGTCTTGCCTCATATTTTTTCCTTGTCTCGGGTTTCTACGATGAAAATGTCTTGAAATATTCAGCTTGGCGTACAGAGTTGCCGAAGCGTGCTGTGGCTTCGATTCAAAATGGCCAGACACAAATTTTGCTATCTTTTCCAATCGAAAGGTATGTGTTCAGTTAAATTACTTTTAAAATAAGTGGAACAAAGAGGATGATCGTTTCGCCGAGTTATACGGCAATCGACTGCTTTCTCACGGCCTAAGACACGAAAATGTTTTCACATATGGTCGGTCTAAAAAAACACATGTTTGATCAAGTGTTCTTTCCCAAAACCAAAACATTGAACTTTTTGGGCGCGAAAAGTTACCGTTTGAAGTATAGAGCTTTCTTGTTTAAAAAATTTTCTGTTGTGTTGAAGTGCTTCTAAGTGCTTTTCATTGCTGCTTATGCGTTTTGGTGGAGTTTTTCAACGACGTAAAATTCACGCGATTCAAAATATAAATTACTCGCTTGGCCGCCAACATATTTGGACCGTTTCTGAATATATTTTTCTTGAAAAATGGAAAACGGCGAAGAGGTCCTTTGCTCAAAGTCTATTTTGTGGACCAGAAACTTGAGTGGTATTTCCGCTTTCACCCATGAATTACTCACAAAACATTTGATAACTGATAGTTCAGCCAAACACGGAAAGCCACCAAATGCTCACAAGCAAAAAAGTGTGGGTATATATACCAACTCTTTAAAGATAAGATGGTTACCCAAATTTTAGTAAAAGCTAACGTCGTTAAGGGCGCTGAAAAGTTTTTCCTGGTGAAAAGTAATGTGCATGCTTCGATGAAAAAGGCGAACTATTCAGTTTATGTGCACCTACGCCAGGACACTTGTAAAGTAACTGATGCAAGTTGCTCATGTAAAGCTGGAAAAGGTGGTTGCTGCGAGCATGTGGCTGCTTTGCTTTTTAAAATTTTAGACTTTATTAAACTTGAGTTAACAGAAATACCAGACGATTTGACATGTACACAATTACTACAGCAGTGACATGCTCCTTCCAGTGAAAAACTTGAATCTGCATTATTGTTTGACCAAGTTAAATTTAACAAGGCAACCTGCAAAAAAGACAAAGTGCACCAAACTGTGTACAACAACCCAACACCAGCTTTTGCTAAAGATGTCAGTGAAATTGACTTAAAAAAAATTAGGTGATGGGTTGAAATCTGTAGACACTTGCCAGTACTTTCAAGGCCTTCTAGAGTCAAACAAGTATCACCCATGCGAACATGAACAATTTTTGGAAGGGTTGCCTTCAAAAAGAGCATTTACCGATTCTAACTTGCATGCAAGTCAACTTTATAATGACAACATTAGAGAGTCCATTTTAAAAGAAGTACTTATTCCTGATTTTGCTGAAGTATGCAAGCATTTGCCTTCTCAGAAATATATACAATTTACCAAAGACACTTTATTTAAAAACCAAACAACAAATGGTTGACATAGAGTGCAACACAAGGGGCCAGTCAGATTGCATGCAGTGGTTTCAAGAAAGGCAGTCTCGCTTGACTGCCTCAAATTTTGGTTCAGTTATGAAACGTAAAGAATCAATCTTTCCTAAGTCGCTACTAACAAAAATCCTTTCACCTTCATCAAACACATCAAAAACACCTGAACCATGTTTGTTGGGTAAAACTAATGAACAAACAGCCATAACAAAATACATGGAAGAAATAAGCAGTGACAAATCTATGTCAGCTTGTGTTCACTGTGGATTAATTGTTAATGCAGAAGCACCATGGCTTGGTGCCAGTCCAGACTGCCTATTATATGATTCTGCAGAGACCACACCATTTGGGGTAGGTGAGGTTAAATGTCCATTCTCCAAGAAGAAAAAGACAATTAATTATGCCTGTGAGAACTCATCATTTTTTTAAGTGTGCCTAATGATAAACAATCAAAACCAACTTTAAAAAATAAAAAGAAACCACAATTACTATTACCAAGCGCCAATACGCAAGAATAACTCAAGACACAAGTATAATCTCTTATATAATATAAGTCTGCTTCGAATGCAATTCGTATTTACATTCACCAAAACATGAACAACAACGAACCCAGGAAAGCGCGCGAAAGCGCCGGAAGTGAGTCTAACATGCAATGCTAATTATCTACTTCATGTCACATGCCACAAAGGTGTGGCGAAGTGCAAGGGCTTATGGCTACCTGCAAGGTTAAATGGGGGGATTTTATTGTGTACACAAGAAAAGAAATATTTAGTGAGAGGATTTACTTCGGTCATGAATTATGGTACAAAACAATATTAGCAAAACCTACGATATTTTATTTCACATATATTTACCCTAAATTGGCAAAACAATAAAACTATTCAATTTCATGTTCTAATTCACAGTGACAATCATTTATCAAAGGTGGACAAAATAATGTTAAATAAGAACAAATGACCCATACTTTGTTCAAGTCTGATGACATTGTTAAAGGAAAAGTGTTTTTGATCATTCTAAAACTTTTAATGCGTCTTATTGCTCTTTCCAAATGCACTCGGACAGCTGCAATTTTCCGTGTTTCCGTCTCATCGCTTAGTGAAAGTTGAGGGGCACCATTCAAAAATGGTGGTATATTCAGCCCCACACCAACTGGCATCTCACTTTCAATATCAAACCCCCTATCTGCCATAATGTCATCCCCTTGCTCAAGTAATTTGAGGATACCACAATCTTTGGTTACTTGCTTATCACTAGACTGCCCAGCATACAACTCAGACACAAATGTTGGATATCCAGCAGGGGAAATACCAAGCAATCTCTTAGCAGTGTTCTGATTTTTATAAAACGAAAATGTGGCTGACTGACTTCTGAAGGAAGTTGGCATTTCAATAAACAGTTCAGTGCAATCAATGATTACACGAGTATTTGGGCAGGTGTCTTTAAAAGCCTGTGGCATAGTTTGTTGTACATAGTCACGTGATGCCCAAATGGGAATGGCTCGCAACCTGTGATACAGAAATTCTATCTAGGTTGTCCAGATACGAGAGACGTGGGCTTCTGAAATCCCAAATCGATTTGCTATGTCTGTTCCCATAAGCCCCCATCGTAAACGTACAATAACCATGGACAACTCTTGTTCTGGTGACATTGACCTAGTTCGTCCCAATTTTGTTTGAGATTCTGATGTATATTCTACATTTTCCCCGAGCCGGTGCGGAGCACCGTGCGAGGGTACTAATTCCGCTCGGATATTTATACCCACGATATGCAAATGCGAAATCAAAGTCGTCCGCCATTATGCAATGGACCTCACGCCATGGACGGTCTTCTACGTTTTACGCATGCGCCAGTGTGAACTACTAAGCTCTTGATTGGTCGAGACAAAAATTTGTATTTTCAAACGTCAATGAATAACTGTCATTTCGCAAAATTTTGATGAAATTTACAAATTTATATTTTTATAGATATGGAATATTTGTATTTTTACTAAATTAGAGGGAAACACAAATGATGTCAGGAATTTTCACGATTTAACAATAACAAGATCAAAATTTTCGACCGAATTCACCGTGTATAATAAACCAGTGAACTCTAAAAAGACTGGAACGATAACTTGGCCGCCATCTTTGAAGCCAGCACTGATGGCCGCCATGAAGGCCAAGAGTTGAAATTACACCACCAAAACAACGCCGGTTTTTATACACAAATCCATTTCATCTGATCATGAATAAAAGCTTAAAACAAGCATTGAAACTTAGATTTTACTAAAAAACAAGTTTTATGAACGTGAAAAGGTGCAAACCTATTTTTTTTGCGAGTTGAAGGCGAAGTTTTTTTTCAGCCCGTTCAAATTCTTTAAATATTTCAAGTACAAAGCTGGTACCTCGCCGGTTTTTACAGTAAGATGATGCGGATTACTTAGATCTATCCAAAAAGGGTAAATTCGTTGTTTAAAGTTGAAGTGGTCAAATAAAAATTGCACTTTTCTGGCAATTTTTTGCCAAAAAATACGATTTTTACGGAATTCTCACTCTCCCCAGTTCTTTTGAAGGCTTGATTTGCTCGCGCGGCTCCCGCCTTAATTAGCAAATTATATTCAAATCGGCTTCATCCAATGACTAGTCTTTATTGTTGAGTTATCGTTCCAGTCTTATTAGAGTTCACTGTAATAAACTCGGAATATTTTACACTTGATAATATTTCATCCGGCAGACCGGCACAGCTCTAAAAAGTAATTCTTTTGTGGCAAACACAACTTTAATATTCTCAAATGTTTTTCACTATAAATCTGAATGTGTTATGTGATAAACGACATTATAATTTTATTTATAAACTCCGTTTTCATAATGACAAAAAGAAAACAAAATCAAAACATTCCCGTACAAAAACCGGTCGAAGCGTTGTATGAGACGTCTGATGTTATATTTCATGGCATTTAGTAATTAAAATAATTTACCATAACACTGACTATAGATGAGTAACTTAACTTCCAGAAAAAGGTGAGAATCTTGTCGTATTTTTGCCATTTTTTTCAAAAAAATATGAGGGCAAACATTGATTCTTTAAAAATATACGGCCGTTGCGAGTTGCTATGACTACAGTGTTTCCACGTGCAGAAAAATATTTCCATACTTTTCTCACTTTCTATTTCTCACATACCATCAGATACCATGTACCCTCCAAAACCCCCAAACCACATAAAATTTCTAACAATCAATAACTAATTTCGTTTAACCGAGGCGAGGGGTTGCTGCATGCGTGTGTTTCTAGTTACTTGAACCAGTATAGCTTAGAAAATCTCATGCCGGTTGCAGGTATTCAAAGAAAACTTTAAATGTCTGATAATTTTGAAAACCAGTATAAAATTTGAAGTTTGCATTACTGGCAAGAAGTCATTATATTTTCTTTGTAATTCAGCATGTTCAACTTTCAATTTTTCATAGTCTGACTCTTATTTTTCTTCGTCAGTTGTAAGTTTTTCAGGTATGGTAGTTTAATCCCCGAGCCGGTGCGGAGCACCGTGCGAGGGTACTAATTCCGCCCGGAGATTAGGAATTACACCCGGGACCCGGGAGAACATAGCGGAATCCAAAGTTGCCCAAATGTCATGGACGTTCAATGGTCATGGTACTTGTGCGCATGCGCGAAATGCGAACGAGTGTAGACTAGTAATCAGCAACTTACTGATTGGCTAAGACGAAACGTTTGTTTTTCAGTGAAAAACGTCAGCAATTTAACTGTCATTTTGCAAACTATTTTTTAAAAAAATATTTCGAAAACAAAATATGAAATGTGGAATCAAATAACAGATAAAACACTGGAAAGAGTTTAAAATATTATCAGAACTGGAGGAATTAGCGGTGAAAAGGAACAACTCGATTATAATCCTTGAAATGGTAGGAGTCTATTTTGTTTATTTCGAGGTTTATTTCGTGTTTGCTGTACGAATACATTTTATGACCTTGGTACAGTATGTCGTTTTGCTCGGTTTTGCGAAGACGTGACCGACTATTTAAGGCTTTACATCATCGTTTTAACTTCCAAAAGAGTCCTTAAAAGTGTAATTCGGTGTTTTAATATAACAAATATCACTATAAAGGTTTATATATAGTCGACTGCAATCACTGCATGATTTTAACAATCGAAAAACAACATTCGACGTTCACTGCTTGGTTATTTATATTATTTGGGCTGTTTTGATGTTTTGAAGGTTTAGCTATAATGAAGTATTAACTCTCACTTAATTAAACTGTGAAAGTCTATAACTTAATGCAACGGAAAGCAGCAGGAAAACGGGTGATTTCACTTCACCTTTACGACTGTGTTTGTTTCCGAAATGTTTGAAACATCAGCTATCAGCTTTACATTTTAATAGGACATTTCATAACATTGAAGGTTAGGTCTGGCTAGCTGAAGAAATATTTTGCTTCGTTTGAAATGGCGAGGGGTTGCTGCATGCATGTATTTCTAGTTAATATTTTCACAGTTTTGAACCGAATAGCAGCTTGAAATATGTTCTCTACCTTCCCTACTGTTCACTGTTTGTCTACTCGACGATTTAACAATTGTTGGTAATGAACCAAAGGATTTTTTTTCAAAGGTTGTTTACTTATATGTAATAAGTTTAGCCATGTTTCTCTCAAGCTTGAATCTTTGGGAAATTTGTGAAAAGACAACCCTGGATTTTTAATGTTAATGTTAATGTTGATGTTATGTTAATGTCTAATTGATCAATTTTTGCAGTCTTACGACTGAATTACAATTGAATTTACAGGCAAAGAAATTTAGGTAAAATATGGAATATGTTTACTATACTTACAACATTTTGCTATAAAATTCTATTAAATTTAAGATTACTGTAAAATGTTCCGCTACGATAAAGTATTAATACTAAGACTATACTAATATGCTTAAAGTTTTGATTTTTTCGCATAATTTGGAATAAAAGAGTTCAATAACCTATTCGTATTAATAATGGGAAGATTAAATCTTCTCAGTTCTCTAAAATTATGTGTTGGTAAGTTTTTCTTTAGGTAGTAAATGGTGTAATTTATGATCATCTTTTGTTTCGATGGACGAGAATAGCTTTTGTGATAACTTTTCTCTTCTGTCCTTCAGTGTTAATAATTTTGCTTCTTTTAATGCGACTTTTGGACTTGATTCCGGGTAGATTATCCGCAAGGCTCGATTTTGTACACGTTCCATATCCACCGACAAATAATCAGGAAGGCCTGAGTGGAAAACTTGGCAGCCGTATTCTAAGATGGATCTAATGCATGCACAGTAGAATTGAATCAAGGAATAATGATCTACACCTGCACGTTTTAACTGCCTTAATAAGTATAGTCGTTTTGATGCTTTTAATACAATATTTTCGATATGACTATTCCATTTTAGGTCTTCCGTGATGGTCATACCCAGTATTTTAGCTGATTTAACAAGTTCAAAGCGTTCGCCATTTAGAATCAAACCATCATTAGTAGAGGGTCTTCTAGTAAAGTCAATTCGGAGCTCTTTACACTTTATCGGATTTAGCTGAAATTTATTTTCATTGGACCATTTAGCAACTTGGTTTATTGTATCTTGTAATCTACTTTCCATGTTCCTTAAGATGACTTCAGAAATGGTCGTGTCGTCTGCAAATTTCCATATACTATTTGTGGGGGAACCATTGATACGTAGATCGTTAATCATGGCTAAGAACAGCCATGGACCAATCCTGGTTCCTTGTGGGACGCCCGCTGGAACTTGTAGGAAGTCAGATACACCTTCGGTTGATATCTTTACTCGCTGTAATCTATTTCGTAGAAAGTCCGTAATCCAATTTACGATTGTGGGTTTTAAACCATAACTGAGTAATTTTGCAATTAGCAATATTATGATCAACTAAGTCGAAGGCTTTCCTGTAATAGAGTAAAGCTACTCTTATCGCTGAGCCTGTGCCATCGGTTTCAGTTAGCCATTTGTGTAACATTCAGATAAGAGCAAACGTTGTACACGAGCCTGGTACAAAACCAAATTGTGATGGATCCAAAGATCTAAGCAAAGTCGGCCTCAGTCCTCTGTCAATGATGAATTTTTCTGCCACTTTTGATAAGGTTGACGTCAGAGAAATTGGCCTTAGATCTTTATTAAAGTCCGTGATCTTTGATTGTTTAGGGATGGGGGGAACGTCGGCCATCTTCCATGCTTGTGGGACTTTGCACGTTTGGAATGAGCAGTTGATAATATCAGCAACCGCAGGTGCTAATATATCGGCGTATGTCTTCAGTACCCAGTTTGGTAACTTGTCCGGACCATTCGCTTTTGTGGCGCTTAATTCACGTAAAGTTTTTGCGACCAACATTTCGGTAACTTGTATTGGTTCGTCGTCGTCTTCCTTCAAGACACATACGTCATTAGTTAGCGGATCGTAGTCTGCCATAACACTGATAAAGGCTTCATTGATCTTATTTGCTAGTTCGTAATCGTTGCAATTTAAGTTCGTAGTCAAGCTTGATCGAAAATCTGGGTTATGCTTTTCCGAAGAGCCACATAACAGTTTGATTTCGTACCACCATCTGTGCGGTTTAATTTCCTTTAGTCCACGGACTTTAGATAGATAATAACTTTTTCGGCATCGCTTCCTTTCACGGTTTACTTTATTCCTTAAATGCCTGAATAAACCATCCTTTCCTCGTGAGAACGCCTTTTGCCTTTGAATAATGAGCCGTTTAAGTTGGTTAGTCATCCATGGACGATCAGACACATGAACTTTTATCGAACGTTCCGGCATCAGGATATCTAATCCACAATGGATAAGTAAGAGTTAATTACCGAGAACGAGGTTTCTTAGCGAGATACAACCCGAGGGGCGTGACCCGAATAAAGGGATGATTTATGAGGGCTACGCTCCCGAGGGATGTATCTCGCTAAAAAACCGATGTTCGAGGTAATTAACTAATTTAGTACAAATTTGTAAGGATTTTACTAAGAATGATTGCTCCTTTGCTACGTGTAGTTGATTGAGCCTTACTAATTAGCGACTCAATGATAAATGTAAGCGTAAAGTAAATCGACAAGGCAAAACAAAGAAATGCAGTAAGTGGTGTGAGAAAAAACTTCAAGCATCGGTTAAGGCTACGGAAAAGAAATTTAAAGAAAATTACGAGTCACGCTTTGTGAATATCTTTTTGTTCGACCGCAGATTATCTATCTGTGTATCTGCATATGTTAAACACTTCTGGGAATATTTTGTCAATTAGACAGGACAATTGTTAATTTGGCTTTTGTTTTAATAGTACTCTAAATTTATACAAAAATTAGGTTAGACATGTAGATAAGGATAATTTTCTGATAGCATGCATGGTAGAGTGAGCGGCATATGTTGATGGTTGGATGAACTATGAGCGACAGAAACAGCGACGAAGATCTAGATTTCTATATCACGCAAAGTGCTTTTAGGGAGGCAAAATCAGATGAAGATATAGATTTATTAAACGGAATTCTTTTTGGGGACGAGAGCTTAGATGAACAAAACAAACTTTCGCGAGTGCCCATAGCTGATGCAAAGATAACGAAGAGAGTCATAGCAACAGTTTCCGATGCGGAGCTGCAAAAAAGAAATGCTGAGCGTATACCAGCAGCCACAAGGCACAACACTAACTGGGCTGTTCGTGCTTGGCAAGAGTGGGCACAAATACGAAATAGCGAAGGCACAAGAAGCAGCCAAGATTTGTACGGGTTTGTTGAACCAGACATTGTAAATTTGAACAACAACAATGAACTTAATTACTGGCTCGCAAAATTTGTAGTGGAAATACGAAAGAAAAAACCTTGCGGTGAACCATACCCTCCAAACACGTTGTACCAATTGTGCTGTGGCATACAACGTCACTTTAGAGAGAATGGCCGACCAGAGTTAAATTTATTTGACAACCCGTGCTTCAAAACGTTTCAAGATTCGTTACTCGTTAGACGCCGAGATGAAAAGGTTGACTGGCCAAGGCTACGGTGTTAACGTTAGAGAAGCACAGGCGTTTACAGAAGAGCAAGAAAACAAATTATGGGATATGAAATTACTCGGTGGCCAGTCTCCCCAAGTGCTTCTTGATACGATGATTTTTTTTATTGGGAGGAGCTTTGCATTACGAAGTGGAAAAGAGCACAGAAATCTACGATTTGAACAATTTACATTAATTGAAGCTAATGAAACGGAACCCGAGAAACTTGTGTTTAATTCGTTTGGTGAGAAAAACCAAACGTAAAACGCTATCGTTTTATAATTGTTAAGTGTCTACTCTTAATAGTCCTTGCTTCAGTTTGAGAGAAGCTTCATTAAAAATATTTCTATACTTATTTTAGAGACATTCCGAAATAATTTTCCGACTTTTAAATTTAATATCTCCATGATTCTTTCTTAAAAAAACAATCTTTCCTGTATATTTTTTTTGAAAGCTGTTCATTTCGACATTTCGACTTTGTCCAAGATTTTTATGTCATTGAAATTTTCAGTAACAGTGCAAATTTCTATAACAACAATGCAAATTGGATCGAGATAAAATCGTTTAGGCAAAGTAGAGAACAAATTTTTGAGAGAAACTCTGTTAGTTTATTTGAGAAATTAGCAGAAAAAGAAGGATGGGTGTTATTAGCTTTTTTACTGGCTCCGATGATTTATCTCTTTTTGATCAAAAATCACAGAGAAGGCTTACATCAAATTTAGCCCCAATGTTGTTTTCAATTCGATGTTTCATATTTGTTGCAGCAATTGAATCGATTCCAAACTTGTACAGACCGATGTTTAAGTCCACTTCAGAGGCCTCACTACCTGACCACGAACTCAGCAAACGCCTAATGAAATCTTGAACATTTTGAATTCTCACATCCAAGGGTAGTACTGCTAGGCTCTCCAATGTCATTAAGTTGTCCACGACTACCAGCGTTTCTTCTCGTTTCCATTGGAACCTCAGAGAAGTATGACTTCTAAGATAAACTTGCTAATTCATAGGAGATATGCAAACTTGAGCTTCGTCAAAATTTTTAAGAATGATGCGTTCCATAAACTCGGTTGCTGAAAAAATATAGTTTTGCAAAGTCTAGACTTGAAATAAGTGAATAATTATGTATACTTGTTAACAATACAATGTTACTTCAATCTTATGACTATATTTTTATATCAAAGGATTGCCTACCGACTCAATTTTTTTTTATTGAGTAATTTCATAATGTGCTTAGCCTAAAAGATTATTTTCTTGGCTTGAAGTGGCGAGGAGTTCAGCAGGAATGTATTCAATTTGTTATTTTGAATATACCTTGCGTATAGTGAAGAGCAAAAAATCCGTATGTTTCCAGGACTGATGTAATATCCGCATTTCTTTCCAGTACTCCAGCACCACTGATCGGACCCCAGTTAATAGACAAAGCAGGCAGGCCAAGCTTGTTTCGACGATATTCACATAGTTGGTCTAAAAATGTGTTAGCTGCAGCGTAAGATGCTTGCCCAACATTACTAAGAACTCCAGATATTGAGGAAAACATAATGAAGAAATCTAGATCCATCGAAAGACTGAGTTGGTGAAGGATAACACTTCCTATTAGAAAAATGAAAGATAGCTATTAACATATCATTTGAATTAAAAATGGTAATAGTATATATTTTTCACAATTATTATACCAGTCCAATTATCATAAGATTACTTGAGAGAGTGTTCCCAAAAAATGAAAAAGAAAAAATACCATTCGCCAAAATGAGGATGCGAAATAGTGAGGAACATAGACATAATATACAATGTGTATAAAAAAAATTCGAATCCAACTTTGACAGGCTGCTGTGTATAAAACACTAAGGTAAACGATATAATTTTTATATGGCAACAACGATTAACTTATTTGGTTTGCGATTATACCGTTCTTATATCGACACGGCCAAAACTAGCCGAGTTATCGTCTTTTAAAAATTGTTGCTGGAAATCAATTTTTTCCGCCGATGGGAATTCGAAATGAGACCTCCAGACAAAAGAAAATGCAAATTCAATTAGGCATTGTGTTCTTCAAACTTCTATCGTTGAGCATTGAGTAAGAAAAATTTTTGCGATAAATTTGCGTTTAGTTTTCAGTAATGATTACATTTTAAAGCCCTTTGGGACTAATTTAAAAAAAAACAAACGACATCGGCGGAAATTTGTGATTTTTATGAGCTTTTTTGTCAAACCAGTACCCCTTCATTTTTCAACTAAATTACACGTACAACGTGTGATTTGAAAGAGAAATAAATGGACTTCACAAAGGTGTAAAAATCAAACAAATTTGTCAAATATATTTTGCATTATTACACGCAAAATTTCGATTCGAATTTTTTTTATACACCCTGTATATTTAAAGAGACATGCCAAGCAAGGGTATAACAAATATATTGCAAATACGTTAGTGATAATTAACAAAGCCATAGTTCATTATTGATAGGTAAACGCTTTCTTTAAGCACGGATAGCAAAGATCGTGGTATTAAAGTAAAATTGTCGATCTAGTGTACAATTAAATAGCGTGAATTGCCACTATGAAAAGAATTACCTTTCACCTTTGTCCCTACAACATTTCTGCATGTCTCCAAATCGGTTTTCTTTAGAAACTGGTCGGCCAATACCATAGCGGTAAAAACGATTCCAGCTACATCAGGTAGACTTTCTAGTTCGCTTTTAATATCATTCATTTCCTCCCAAGATGTGAGGAAATGAATGCTATTAAAAGCGAACTAGAAAGTTTCTCTTTTCTCATTCTCTTTTCGTTCAACTTCAGGTAGGCATCGGTTATTGAATTCATCGCCACGTTGCACAACATCGTATATGCTCGATACTTTTTGAATTATATCTAGAAGCTTGTGTTATAAGACTTTTTATTTCTTCTATGCACGAGGTAGGAGATCTTTTACAAGGGTTTACTAAAGTTCAATAATGTTCTCTTCTTTCTCCGTTCTTCTCTTCTCTTCTCTTCAAATTTTCGTCCTTTCGGAACTTCGTCGTTTTCTGTTCTGTCAGGTTGTCCGTTCTGTCAGGTTGAGCTTCCTAACGTTTCATATGCTTTTTACTAAGCTAGTCCACTCTCGTTTCGGGGTTCCGTCCGACGTTCTTGTGTCCACTCTCGTGTTCAGTCCACTGAAGGTTCGTGTGTTGTGCACGCCTTTTTATAGTAACGGTTGAGGGACATCTGCACACTTCATCAACTAGAGTGGGCTGATCCTTATCCAACCAATCAGCGTTGTTAGTTAGAAATGGGGGTTGGCATTAGAAGCTCGTTCCAGCTCTCGTAACTTGTTTGTATAAGGCGCTGACGCACTAGTCGAGTTGGTCTTTAGGTCTATCGATCAATACTTTCAAGTGTTCACAACTTAAAATATCTATCATTAACAAGCATTAAAATTATCAAACATTGTTTCTGTGAACCTTATTTTATAGCTTAACTATTTATTCCACTATTTTAATCGAATTAAACTTTCTCTGACGTAATCCCTAAAATGCTCGACGGCGCATTATAAAAACACAATTGATTGACATGAGAACTTTGCAGCTGCCTAAGGCATCCTGTTTTTAAGATAAAATTTCGCTTCGCTTTGGCTTTTAAGGTATGTAAACTTTACATGTTTACCCAAACCCACTGTTTACCTAAAAAAGACAGATCGACACTAAGATTAATACTACATTAATTATTCACTCAAACTGTCAAGCTTGCAGAAGGAAAAATAATTGATATTTGCGAAAGGCCAAAATTATGTTTACCCATGCATTTTGTGGCAATAATCAATTACTCATCCATGCATGGCAGGTGATATTTTCTATTTTTATACGATTTTAATATGCATATAACTAAACATAATAAAGCCTTGCGTAACACTTGTTCCAAAATCCTTTCGCTTTCAAGACTGAGTAACACGAATCCAATAGCTTCGAAAAATCTGCAGAACTCTTAGTGATGTCTTGTAAACTAGTCAAAATAAAGCGAACATCTTTTACGTAAACCCATGGGTTAAGCATCATAATTTCAGCCCCGTCGAGGGAACATGTGATAACAGTAGCTTCTGGTTTTAGATGTTTCAGTATTTCACCTGTAACGTAAGTACTGCTTCTACTCAGAAGGCAAACAGCATCAAAATCCTTACAGCTATTATCCTTAGGCTCAGCTTTCGCTACTTAGTTTTCACTTACAACCAATAACTCTCCAAATCGATCTTTACTTGACTGATTGTGAACAAGACATACAGCATTTATACCTACAGACGCGGCAACGCAAGCAAAAATAAAACATACTTCTTCACTTTGATGATAGACAAGAACTTTCTTATCACCTTCTATGTCACAAAGAAAATTTGTGAGAATGCCGTAAGACATTGGCATGGGAAATCCAATGGACACAGCTTGTTGAGGGGTGAAAATGGCTTTTATCTCCGTGAAGCAGGTTTCCTCTGCAGCAACGTAACTTCCAAGATTATCAATTTTACAGATGCCAAGCACAAAGGGACCATTGTTTGCCTCCAGTCCATTACACATTTTCCCAGCAATTGAAATAAGATCGTTCGCTTTAAGATCTTTCCAGTGCTTATGAAGGATAGGGCAGGCATAGTACACTTCAATTTCTCCAATCTGTTCTTTCGGCCCTTTCTGTAGAAACCACTGACCTGACCAACTCGCCATTTTGACAGGTTTTAGTCCTCCATCTTCCGTTTTTGTACATTTAGACTCGTCTGGATCAAACTTTTGAATACGATTGACATACCGTTCACCATTCCTATATGTGACCCTCCACGGGAAAACAAACGTACATTAATGGTTTGAAAAAACGGGCTGAAATACCGTTTGCTATCCGTTTTCTATCCGTGAAAATCAAAAACGGTTGCCGTTTAAACATTTTAAACGCCCGTTTAAATTTTATTGCTTGGCGTTTAAACGGTTTGTTCAAAACGTGAAAACGTTTTGAGCGATCCGTGAAAACATTTTGGTAGAGCTGTGAAAACGTTTTGCTTTGGGGCATACTTCGAAATCCGGACCGGACTCGGACTCGGACTCCGACTGAAAGAAAACCCGGACTCGAAGGAAAATCCGGACTCGTACTCGGACTCGAGATCCGAAAACCCGGACTCAAAATTGAAAAAACACGGATTCTAAACTGGACTCAAAATTATCCAATTATTCGATTCGGAATTATCATTGATCTGATTTTCTTATCGTATACTTAATAACACTAGAATATATAATCAATAAAAATCTATAAAAATCTGAAAACTGCAGTCGTACCGAGAGCAAGTAGTCGACTTGACCATTACCAAATTTACCGACAACCTTTTAAAAAATGAGATTGCTACACACGCAACGCTCCCCGCTCGGTACGTGCCTGGCGAAAACTTTGAATCAGCTGAAAAGCTCAAAACCTAACCCTATTAATAAATGGAATATTTTAAAACGCATGCATAAACGCTGAAAAAGACGCTAATAATTAAATAAAATAATTACGCGAGAAAATCGCAGTTGAAAGTGTTTTCTCAGTTCAACACTTATTCAGTTGACGTCTACGTTTAATATTTCTTTTAACGCCGTGATGTGGGATTGATGGAGGAAAGGCTTCAAATCGTCCGGTATCTGGACCAATGACGGAAGAAAGAAAGCATTTTTCTGAGCCACGCAGTTTGGGTTGAGATGATAGTATACATTCGAAAGTTCCTAGTACAGGCTTAGCTGGTTTCGGGTGAGTGGCTGAAGTGCTGGGGAATCTACTTGCAACAGTTTGGCTGTCTGCTGAGTTTCGCTTGTTGTTAGCAGAACCCTTTCTTCGCTTTGTCGCCGTAGTGGCCTTTTTACCACTGGTGGTAGGCATTCCAACATTAGCCAGGGCTGTTAGGTTCGTATTTTTTTTATCTTTACGATACCATTTGATGAACTTTTCAAGCGATCCATTTTGCTCGGCAACTGCGATAACATGCGCACAGATGTGATAAGCTCGAAATCCTGGACAGTCCTTATCGCAATCCACCCTACCACTTGAAGAAACCTTAACTGTGTGGGGAGCTTTAGGATTGGTGGTGCTCGGTGTCATCCAGTTATCATCGGTGCCATGTACTTTCCACACGTGCTTCTTAATTTTGTTTGCTTTTGTAAATGAAGACTTCAAAACTTCGTAAGGAACACCTATTATACCTTTGAAAATATTTATAAATTTAGAATGAAAGCACGTTCATGAATACAGAAAATTTGGGGTATGAGAAAATCGTGCAATGGCAAAACATTTATGAACAAACCTGATTGTTTTGCACTAATAGACAATCCGTTGTCCTCATTCGAGGTTGGGACAGCTGGCCAGTTTCCAACACTAGATACTGAACATTCGAAGAATCGTTTCTTCAGTTTCTTCTTCTGGTTGCTCGACATCTGATAATACTGGCTTTCTTCTACTTTTAAAAATTCGAAATCGTCTGCTAATCGTAGGTTCCTTTCCCGATAACTGCCAAAAACTGTTCCTCAAACTGACGTTTTACGACCGACTCGATATTTTTCACAGCATCGACTAACGAACGAGACACATCTTTCGATCCTTTGGCATTTTCTTTGACGTACCTGTTCAGGCATTCGCTAGCGTTCTGTGTATACGTCGTTGGAGGGAATCCCAAACCGCACATTGACCGGATGTCTGCTCGCATGCTGTCTTTGATAGTGTTAGCTGGACCAGCCAGGAAATACTGAAGGAACGAATCTGCATTTGCATGAAGCTTGGGCCACCTTTTTTTGATATCTTCCAATGCAAGATTGAATTCCTCTTCCGATGTACAATCGGCAAGACCACCATAAATAAGGTATAATTAAGAACATAGTAATTAATGCTTCTTCTAAATATTAAGAATTAACTGTTTAATCGGACATAATATTTCATATCGATAAATAATTTCATCTAATCCTTGTTAGTAAATGGAATAATACCCAATAATTCGTAGATTTTACACTTGTATACATATAAGTACAAACCTTCTCTGACACTATCCAGAGTACAGCCAAACGTATCGCGTGTTATTTCACGAGCAGGGATAGGGTCAATTTTCAATTCCGACAACTTGTGCTTTATGTTGTCCTTAAGGTGCATGTCGCATCGTAAGTGAACGGCGTTAGTGAAGACGTTCGACATGGCTTTCCATAAGTTTTCTTCACCGTCTGTGCCAACCACAAGGACACCTGACGTTTCCGGGCGGTATTTCACAATGGAAGGGAGAGTATAGTACGAAGACTCTAACTTTTTCTTGTGCAAAACACCTGGACCAATGCAAATGGGGTTCACACCGAGGCTTGTCTCCAGCAAAAGATTTCGGTATGTCCCAAACGTGAAATAATACTTAGCAACATTAAATGTCGCGTCCACCGAGAATACTGAAAACCGTTCAGGATTTGTACAAAATCGTTCCACGTCTACGAGTTGTTGTTCGTTGGCTAAAAAGATAGTCTGTTCGTTCGAAATGTTCACGTCACGGACGAACCAATCGTCCTTGCTCCCCCGTTGTTGTTACTTTGAAATTTGTAACAACTGCACCAGCGGGTCATTTGATTGATACGAGTTGTCAGTCGGCGTGGAACTATTACGGGCTCGATAAATTTGGCTTCGGTTGCGGGGATACTCACCAGATGAAGAAATTTGTTCAATTCCACCTCTTTCGGTGATAATTTCATGCATGATCTTGCGTGGTTTTGCGTCTTTCTCTCGAATCGATCGAATCGTGCTTGCCATCGTTCTTTTGTATGGTCGCTTATCATTTCTAGCACTTCCATGCGGTCGTAAAGTTACTTGTGTCTCTCCTTGGGTAAAGACATATTGCACATACATATATCTGTATAGACTATTGGCATTTTCAAGGTAGATCAGGTACTTTTTGAGCGATGTTAAGTCGGCATGCGTGTAAGATTGTCGGTAGGTGTCGTAGTTTTCTGCAATAGTCCCATTCTTGAATCTTTTCCTCCCTTGGTTTGTCCACGAGCCCATGTCGTCGCTTTTTACATCCCAAGGATCGTCCAGGCACCAGGAATCCACTATAAATGCCGAATTATGTTGAACGCTGCAAGGAACGGTTGTGGCAACTCGAGTCTCATTATCAATATTCAGAAGTTGTCTGACAACAACTTTAGTTGGCATTCCTTCCGTCAACCCATATCTGTAGACTGGTAAACGCTTATCATCGTTGTAGTAGTGGATATCGTTAATTCCGCTAGACGGAAGATCATTGCCGCTGCTATCGTCCATGTCTCCGCTCGACGAAATTTCACTGTCACTCGAGTCGCTATTAGGTTCACTCTTAATGTGTACGATGCTAACAACTGAATGAAATAACATTTGATTAATTAACAATAATTGAAAAATCAGGCATAAGGTATTTTTTATATTCTGTTTTTTTACGAAGCTACTCAATAATCTAGAGATTAGCCTGAATTATACTGGAGACGGATCATCCATCAAGACGAATTACCAGAACTAAAACCGGCTATACATGGCTAGAAATCTGATACAGTTCAGCAGTTTGCCTTGCGGGCGCACAAATGAGTAAGATGTGTAACACGCATGCGTCTTAGCAGCTTAATGTTTAAACATGGCGGAAGGGTTAAGAGACCATGGAGATATTAGAGGAGTATACACTCAATTGCACAACGCTTCATCCGTCGATTTACTGTGGGGAACAAGTGAAAGAAAGCGGACAAGAAAAAATCAAGTATCGACGTCATTTTACCCCGTAGAGAGACTTGTTTCAAAGCGAATGAAAAAGAACTCGGTAAGAACCAAATGTTTTATACTGTATGTTGGTCTAAAGCTGTTCCCATTTTAAATATATTTTGCTATCTACACTACTAGTGTTTTTTGGGCGAGCAAAGTTCATTAAAACCCAACAGATAATGTATTTGCTATAATTATGTTGTCGAGTTTCCATTCGGCGCATATTTTCTACTGTGGGGATTTGTCAGCCTGTATAAAATGTAAATAATGTTAATTAAATAAGTTTATAGTTTATAAATCCAAAATGGCTTTGACTGTTTGAGTCTAAAATTTTGTTACTCAATACTTCTCACAGACCGAATATTTGGTAAAGTGGAAAAATTATAGTGCCTTTGAAAACAGCTGGGAACATGAGGAAAATTTGACAGAAGACCTTATCAGGTACTAGTATGTTTATTAAATTTAGCCAAATAGCCATGGTTTATTGCTGAGATTTTGTAATTATTGTTGCCTCTTGTAATTGTTCAGGGGCTGATTGTTCAAAAGTGGGTTACCACTAACCCTGGGTTAAAATTTTAACAGTGGGGGCCAGTTGTTCAAAGGTGGGTTAGCACTAACCCCAGGTGAAAATGTAACCCTCTGTTCTAGTTTGTGTATTTCTACATGTATGTTTATTTCAAAACTTCAGAGAGGTGAACTCCTATCTATCCTGAAAAGATCCTTGAAGAATTATTTCTAAATTTATAGACAGGTTGTCAGAAAGTCTGCTTTGAATTTTAGATTAACCTGGGGTTAAACTAACCCAGCTTTAAACAATAGGCCCCAGTTTTAGTTTCTGTATTTCTGCGTGTCTATTTGAAAACTTCTGAGAAGTAAACTCCTATTGATCCAAACAGGATCTCTGAAGAGAATTGTTCCTGCAAAATATTCTTCATATTTCCAAACATGAAGCAGCAGTGCTTTTACCCTTTAATTTGCTTAAATGCCATACATACCGGTACTATAAATTTTCTTGAGTCTATGGATATATAAAGTTTACTTTATTTACAGATCTTATGACCAGCCAAACATACAGCCAGAAAGGTTGCAAAAGAATCTCGACACATTACATGTTGGTATTCTCTTGAAGTTAAAAAGCAGAAGCAAGAAAAACATTACTATTGACTTTGATCATGATTGCTTTCGTTACATATTTAATGGCAAGGGCAAGCAGTCAAAAGATGGGAAATATCTTTTGTTAGACAAGGCTGATTTTGATAGATGTAAATTTGATGGTAATTGGGATACAGTTGGTGATAAAATTGGTGATGGTGTGAGAGTTAAGTATCCTATCAAGGTCAGAACTGTTCTAACAAAATCACCAAGAAATTTTACGGTGGTTAGTGGGAAGCTTCAGGAAAGTCGTCCAATGTTGCTGGAAAAACTGTCATTTGACTTTATTCGTGAGCCTGTGGTACTTCTACATTAAATATTAGGACTAAGATAATATTTTAATATTTACATTGTTATACAACCAACAACAACTAAGGCCTGTTCTAAACGTTGCATTATACATGTGGCAAATGCATTCAAAACAATGGATAATCAGCTAAAAGACCTGATTGTTTCAAATGCATTTTCCGCATGTAAACTGCGACACTTAGAAAAGGCTTAATTAAATGTACAAACTTATTTCATTATGAAATTGTGGTATCTTTATGTAATGTATCACTGTGTCTTGCTAGTAATGAATAGCATTCAGGTGATCTAAATTAGCCAATCAGAAACTAGGGCTACGAGAAAAACTGAGTTATCATTTCCTTCATCTCTTATAACTTCTGTCCTGGAAACTTTTGAATAATTCTATTATTTTTATACAAAAAGATTTTAATTTATCAATCAATTGTTTATTGAAAACTGAATTTCCCTTATAAACACTTAGGGGCAAATGTGCTAACAAATGCTTCCTAGTAAATGATAACTCAGTTGTGTCATGACGTCACATGATATAATCATTTCAGATCATCTGGCTGTAAGAAGGTCAGATAAAAAAATATGATGCATGGTGATTGATAATGGGTACTGTACATATTACCTCATTTCATGTTGGCAAATTTGTCTTAACTGATCTATCAGTTCTGTCTTTCTTTTTTTGCTATATCCATGTGCACTTCTTAATTTTAATTGTTCCCTTAAAGCAGTAGTTGTCATTTTTTCAAAGTCCATTGCATTGACAGTGCTAAAATGTGGAAGTTCTTGCTCCAGTACTACAGAATGTTGTTCATTACAGTCATCACTTGCCTCCGTGCGCAAAGTTTGCCTTTTCAATCTCTGCCGGTTTTCTTTTATTTCATTATTCCAGTACCCCATGTTTGTTTTGTTATATATCCGAGCCTTTCTTTCATGACCGCGCAATTCCCACTGCCGCTGCTCCATTCGCAACACATCCCCAGTTGAGTCTCTTTTATTTGACTTGCGAAGAACGACACTTCGAGCTACATCATTGTTTTTTTCCACGCCTTGACCTGTAAATTGTTTTATGGAGTGATGTAACTCGAAAAATCTGGGGACATGCTGAACCATAATGTGCATGTAAGGAGTTATCCGTTTCCTTTCATACCCTTCCAATTTGCCATTTAATTGTAAAAAAAGTTTGATCCAATTCTTGGCCTTAATCCAATATTCAGTTACACTACCTTCTGGCTCCCATTTGTTGATTTGCTGATAAACGACCTGAAAATCTCGCCAAATTTGTGCCACTAAATTGCTTGTCTCTGGATGTAAAAATAAACCCATTTTTTCAGGGAGTTCAGCAAGGAGAATTTTTTTGTCATGCCCCATTAAGCTAGTCCACTCATATTGTCCACTAGTTCTGCCGTTTACATCCCTCTTCTCCCATACGTTAAAGGAAACACCACAAGACCGAATTACCTCAACAAGATTTGAGAGATGAACACCACGCTCATCTCCTTTCATGATGTCCATTTCATCTTCCTTGTCCCAATTTACACATTCGTTTACAAGGTTTTCTAGAAGGACATCAGTAACTCGTAATAAAAGGTGAAGTTCATCGATTATTGTGTGGTTCAAATCAATGTTCAGCAGAGGCTTTTTAGCACAGCAAAAGTTATTTGTTGATTTCTCACACAATTCCTGAATTTCTTCTAAGGATCTGGAAAGTGGGTTCGTGTTAAAGTAACTGTAATGTTGATCCATCCTCCAGCGGTCTATTTTTGGAAGTTTGCACCACGCACACGCATAATCAGAATTTGCTCCTTTGAGGCCAAGCATCAAAAGAATAAATTTATAGTCTCCTCCAAGGAAAAATTCAGTTTTTATATCTTGCCCATCAACCTTGATTTTTCCATTAGAGATTATTTTATTTATTTCCTGAAACACAACTCCAAAAGATTCCTCCATAGTTTCATAACTTTCTTTTCCATCCACTACGGCAATTGTTCTATTACCTTTTGCAGACATGACATTTTCGCCTGTTTGAAGAAGAGAAAAGGACAATAAAATGAAATTGGAAGTTCTAGTCATTACTGCACCATCACCACTGATTTTGATCTTGATTGTGTCTGCTGACACATTAAATTCTGGATTCTGTTCAACAAAATCTTGAATGTGTGTGCTAAACATATTTTCAACTGAACTAACTTTGGCTCCTTTGTACTCTCCTTTGAGTGGATCGATATGGCACATTTTATTTAATTCTTTGCGACATTGTTTGACTAGGTAAGATCTTGGTAATCCTTCAACAAGCATGGATAACTCGTGGTAGAATACATCACCAACACAGAATTTGTCCACTAAAAACAGTATTTGCTCTACTTTAGTTTTGTCCTCAGGTGATAAATTATTAAACTTTGGCAAGGATGCATTATTTCTCTCTTCATTGCTTGGGTCAGAGGGCTCACTAGGAATGCTTTGCTCACATTTTAAATTATGAATCTCCCCAGAAACAGTTTCTTTAACAGCAAGGCTCTCCAGTTCAATGCCAAATGAACTGGAGAACCACAATGCAACTTGTGCCCGTGACAAAAACGACTTTAGGGTTCTTGTTTTGTTTTTCACATCAGATACTGACTTTCCTTTGTATGCTGATATTCCTATACTATTTTCCAGAATTTGAGCATATTGTTCCAGTTCTCTGTTGTTCTTTTGCAACTCGGTAATCATTGTGTCCTTTTGTTTAATAGTGGTGGCCATCTCATTGTAGAGTTTCTCTTTCTCTTTTTCCAAATTTTCATACTTTTTTCGAAATTCTGTTAGTTCATCATTCACATTATTAAGCTCATTATGCACGTTATTAAGCTCCTCTCGTAGTTTTATGACAGACATAGTCTGGCCCTCAAAAACATGGAATTTGCGAACTCTCTCGTCTAAATCTTTCCTTGCCCTCCCCTTCGTCTTCTTGTACAATTGGTAAACACTGCTAGCAATCTTGGATAAATTGATGTCAATTTCATTCCTCACAACTTCATCATCTGTGAAAGCGAAAAGGCCACCAGCAATACATTTTTCCACAAGCCAAACGTAGGTAACTCTGTTATGTTTGCATTGGCAATTCGAAACATCGTTGTTCTCATCTGGGTTTTTCGGATTTGAGCTTTCTTCGATTCCACCAACATTCTGTACAATATCATACCATTTCTTTATGAGGGGATATGGCAATACCAATGTACAAATAATATCTCTCACTTTTTCCTTTGCAGCATAGCTTAGATCAGGTTGGCTGACCACAACAGCTCTTTCAAACGACGAGCGAATTTCGCGGGTGAATTCGTCCGACATTATACTTTCAAATGAGAATTGCGAAATGTTTATGTTGTGCTTTTAAGGATTACTATGGATACTAAAGGATAATAAGGATTACTAAGGGTTCCAAAGGAAGGGGAAAACCCGGAAAAAAAGATGGCGACAATTTTTATAGTTTGTTGGCGAAATTGCCTTGCGAAAGAAGCAAAGTTTTGGAGATTTCCTTCGCCATTAAAGCAAAATGGCATGATACAAGAAAGATGGATATATTGCTGTTCTTTGAAGGCTTTTGGAACCAGGTAGGCAATAAAACATGCATTAAAAATGGACGGGAACTTGTACATCGGCATGTAAACAGTGCTTTTGAACTTGTGGAGACCGGCCATTGCATTTAGAGTATTGTCTATAGAAGCGTTTGTGCATCGAATTTGCGACGTACAAGAGATAGAATATGGCGTTTCTATGAGGCTTTGGCCACAATTTACATGAGCAAACGGAACTACTTTCTTCAAACAATGCGAGCCATAATCCGGTATTTTTTGGTCGTATATGTCATGAACTTCAAGCTAAAACTTGTGGAGACTGAGAAAAACTTCCTAAGGGAACAAAAATAAGTCATTTTTTGCATTTCCAATGTAATTTCTATTATGAATCGTCTCGAAATTGACACATTGCGCGTGCGCGTCCGCCCTGGGCGGCCATACTGTATCAGATTTCTAGGCATGACATATATATTTATATATAAATATATATATATATATATATATATATATATATATATATATATATTTATATATATATATATATATATATACTCCTCACATGCATACCTTCTAAGCTACTGCTTGAATCGCTTTCATTTTCCTTGCAATTCGAAGTCTCGTCTGTTAGGTTTATTACTTCCACTTCAGTACTCCGCTGTAGATTGTAAACAAGGCAGGAAAGTAATTTAATGAACGAGTCTTAAGAGTTGTTTATGATACTTTTTTATAGAAAAATGCACGAAGAGAATATTCATACCGTTTCAGTTACAGAAATAGTTGAATTGCTATCATTCCGAGTTTCTTCTTTTTCAACGTTTTCCATACGCGGTCGTTTGTGACTTACTTCAGCTTTAGATATAATATAAAAATGATATTTACTAATTTACACAAACTGGACTTTTGCTTTGAAAGATATCTTATCAATTCGGTCTACAATTAAGCCAGTGAAAATCATCAACATACCAGTGAAGATTTTCTGCCTTGTCAGCTGGATCTCACAACAACAGCACCGTTCAAGATTTTTCGCACAGCCTAAAAAGAAGTTTTTTGCCATGTTAGCTGTGGTCATGCATGAAAACATGGCTTTGATAAGTACAACAAGCATGTGGATTAGTCCTACAAAAGATGTGATAAACAAGAGTTTGGGTATTTGCCGAGTCTCTAGTGTCGAGGGTGAGAAGTCGAGGGTGGCGAAAAATGTCGGGGGTAATAAAAAATGCCAAGAGTATAAGAGAATATGTCGAGGGTGAAAATCAAACGATTTAAGTATATTTTTGACACAGCGTTACACTGACTCTATATACAAGCAGATCCTTTGAAATACACCCTGCCACGCGCATCAAATTTCCTCGAAATTTTCTTTTGTTTATTGATCTTCGAATATGTAGCAAAATGTAGAGGGAAAACTTTAAGAATAAAAATTCAAAAATGTAAAGTTCTTTTAAACTGACCCTTTGAAAACACCTTGCCACGCGCATCAAATTTCTTTTACTTAACATTTTCCTTTCATCATTATTTTCTCTTGTGTGTAGACGCATGGGCAGATGGAAATTTTTTACCCTCAACAATTTCTCTAACTCTCGATAACCCTGGACATTTTTCTCACACCCGACTTCTACATTCGATATTTTTCGTCACCCTCGACTTTACGTTGGCCTATATCACAGTTATATCAAGATGGCATATTTGTATGGCCAAGTAGACAGCGCGGGACAGCAATTGAAACATTTCTCTTATATAGTAAAGGCCCTACTCTGGTCAAATTTAATTTATTCATTAACCAAGCTGCGGCAAGCGCAAATTTTAATTGATATAATACTGCAACGCCGCGAGATTTTTTCATTATTTTAGAAAGTAAGCATCAAATAACTAGAGGTTTTAGAGGATATATACGTGGGCCAAATAACTCAATATGTTACACCATCTAAACCGCGCTAACATGACACGAAGCTTAAACGCTCCGCATACTAAAACCATGCAATGCACTTGAAATGATTAAATATAAAGCAGTACAGCACGTATCATACATAGTACCTTGACAAGCTTTTAGATGAAAGCAGGGTAAGAATATTGTGTCCACAGGCTTTTTGTTGCAAAGAACGCACACTTTGACAGCTGTGTATTTTATCCACCCAACAACATTCTCCTGGAAAGTTGGATAAGAAAATATTTGATTTGCTATCTATGCAAGTTCTTTGACTAAAAGCCGAGAAGATTTAGTTATAGTCATATAAGGTACTAACCGTGCAAAATGGGCAACGTGTAAGACGATTGCTACAGGTATAGCAGGTAGCTTGATGACCATAAGGGTAGAATAACGTTTCAGCAAACTCGACCTCGCAAACACAGCACTTCTCTATGAAGAATTGATGCGGAACCACGTGTGCCTGACCAAAAACCAACTCGACTAACAAGTTTCACTAAATAATAACCGCGCTCCGCATTCGCATGTGCAGGTAACAGTGGCGGCGCACAGTCTATTCAAACTGCCGAAAAGAACATTGCTTAAAGGCAATAAATAATTTCTGTTTTGCAACTAAGAAATATAACCCAGAACGGCTAAAGTTGTTTTTTGTAATATGGTGCTTGATACATATGGTGCAACACATGCCACACCTTAAATTATTGTCAGTAGAAAATGTCTGTGTTTGGCGGGAGAGAAGAATAATTTCCTGCTGTTACTTTGTGTCAAATATACCCATGGGCAAACCGGAATGGTTTGACCATGACTTTGAGACAGATTCGAAATACGACCGTAAACTTGTGTCTGGTTTTAAACCTCAGATCTTGGGTTTACAAGATCTTTTCTGTTGGTATTATAATGGTTTTAATGGTTCGTGTAATTGTGAGAAACTAGCTCTATCAACGTCTAAGACAACTAGTACTGATTCTGCGCGCATGAGAGAATAATTTCATGCCTGTGGTGATTATATATTGCAGTGAAAGTGTCTATTGCTTAATTTCTGAATTGCGCTATAATTCTGATAGATAATAGAAAACAAAAAGTGTCTATGTGCTATGGTTGCAGACAGGTCCTAAAACCAGAGAAATAAGAGATCCCACCCGAACCTTTAGATCTAGTTATCGTCAGCGTAGCGAGAAGAAGTTTTATGAAGGATGACATTGGTAACGGCTTCAATAATGATAATTCCGAATCGAATAATTGAATAATTTTGAGTCCAGTTTAGAATCCGTGTTTTTTCAATTTTGAGTCCGGGTTTTCGGATCTCGAGTCCGAGTACGAGTCCGGATTTTCCTTCGAGTCCGGGTTTTCTTTCAGTCGGAGTCCGAGTCCGAGTCCGAGTCCAGTCCGGATTTCGAAGTATGCCTTGCTTTGGCCGTAAAAACGTTTTGGTAAAACCGTGAAAACGTTTTGGTAGAGCCGTGAAAACGTTTAAATAAAACCGTGAAAATGTTTTATTACAGACGTAAACATGCAGGTCTCACCTTTCACCTATATAACCAGTATAACGTTTCCGCTAGCGTGCAATTAAATATTTCCATCCAACAGTCGGGACGACCTTGTAAAGTTAATCGTATAAAACTATATAAAATGTAATAAAATGTTTATATATCAGATGCAAGCAAAATAAGTCGAACACCAAAGTGAGATATCCCTATATATCACTGATTAAAACAAATCTAGTTCAGGTTTATAATGCTTATTAAAGAAGTATGATTGATTATATGTATATCTTTTAATAAAGTATTATCACAGAAGCGAAGAAACAGCCGCCCTTGATGATTTGCCAACTTGCACTGCCAGAAACCCATCACCTGGGTCAACAGGCCCCAAAATGCTTTTTCGCAATTATAAATGTACCTATTTCTATAGTGCGTGTGAGAAGACACATAGTTTAAAATTTCTTACAGCAATTAAATTCGATACACATACTAAGCAACATATCTGAGATGCAAATATAATTCAACTAATTATAACGAGAGATATCTGGTATTTGTTATGCAAATACTTATATAGATATAATAAATACGCACATTCTCGTATATACATTAAGTAATTTGGCATGACCAAACTACTTTCGCGTTTATACCCATGCATTTCACGATCTATTTTGGCAAAAACAACTAATTAATGCGTTATAGGATCGTGTGCGAGCTTCCTGTTATATCATATCAACTTTATATACGCTATATTACACATTTTCACAATATTTTCAACAAAGTGCATTTAAGCAATTTTCGCCAGTGCGTGTCGAAGTTTGAAAATGGGTTGGTAAAAAATCACGATCGGTATGATATATATATATATATATAAATATATATATATATATATATATATATATATATATATATATATATATATATATATAAACTCGCCGTTTTTCTGCCATATCGATCGCTTTTTAGACTATAATTATATATGCTTTTATTTTGAGAACACACGGCTACACAGTCATATAATTAATAGCCTTATGCTGTATAATCAGATTATTCTAATCCGTACTTAAAATTGACGTAATATTTATGTGTGTTATTGAAAAGATTTGACCTCTGTAGGAAAAATATGCGCTCTATGTCAAATCTTACTTAACTAAAAATTCTTGGTGGTCACAAAATATCTCTATATATATATATTTCATAATGAAATACTTTATCTCCTTCCATATTTTAGAGCATCTGCCAAAACGTTAACAGTAGAATATAGCTAGCATGTTATCTGAATAATATTATACGTTATCTGCGCTACACTGCATGAAAAAAAGTTTTTGTTAGTTGAATATGGGATCGAAGGCCGGCGTTCCGGAATCCAAACGTCAAGATTTCCGCCCAGAAAAGCAACTTAATACTCCATCCCGGCGCAAAGGTGCACATTTTTAGCCAAAACATATAGCAATTACATATACTGCCCTTATAGAAACAGCGGATCGAAACTGTCAAAAATGCGCACAATTTTTTCTGCAGAGCATATAGCAATGCCGTCGCCCATACAGACACGAAAATCCCAAACGCACGCACAGGGGAGTTTATACTCACCATTATAACAAAAAATCAATCCACGTCATCTTCGAGACATCTAATTGTGACACAAATTGTGCCCCCTGCCTACGATAACCCAAGCAAGACTTCTCCAGAAACATTATGTGTTGATGCATAAAATGTATCATCTGACTCTCGTGTCTGGAAAAATCTTATTCGCCTGTCCTGCCTGTCTCAGCTTAGGAATTAATAAGGTTGCATCTGCACACAAATTACTTAGGAATTTGCATATAATTTTTGGTTAAGAAAAATTTTTGGTGTTTGAGTGCAGATGCACCTATATATTTATGTTATCTCAGTTTTGTGACCACCCAAGTAAAGTACTCAAACCTCTTTGAACCTCTGGCAAACGATGTTCGATTTTACGATGTTCGACTGAACCAAAGCGATCTTGACCAAAAGCAACTTTCTTTTGTCATATAGTCTACAAAAATTTTATATAAGCCTTAGTGCGCACGTAACAAATAAATATATATGCACAGACTTAACAAATAAATATATATCACACGTGGCAAAAAAATGAAGGTTTGATCGAGCCAACAGTAATACGAGATCTGATGATTCATGATTTCATCGATAGGGCCTGATTTCAATGCTTGATGGGAATTATTTCCAAGCGCGACTCATGCATACGGTATTTTTAATCAAACATGCCTTATATCAAACACTACACTCTAGAAATTAATCAATAAGTTTTCATACCTTTATATGCACGTGTTAAAACACCTCGACGTATCCATAGATATGAATATCCAGCGAATATTTGGAATAAGGCTTCGCAAAATTATTGGTAAAGATCTTTACCCGCGTGCTTATGAACTTGATTGGCGCGATTTCATATTTGTTCACTTCACCGCTCTATAGCTGGCAACAGCCTTCAAAGTGCAAATGTGCAATGACCATACATGCCAAATGCATGCCGGATTACAATTTAATATCCGGAATGCAATTTCCTTATAAAGAGAACCCAAATCAAAATTAGTGAATATTTTCCTATTGTCCAAGCAGCTGTTAAATATGAATTCTAATGTTCATTTTCTGTGAGGTCAAACTTAAATGTTTGTAAGACCTATGATAATATAACGAATTAGGTTTCTTTTAGATATAAATTATCGCCAATATTGTATTAGGCTTACGCTGCAACATGTCAGCTGCCAATTTTACCAATTGGGCTTGTGCCAGTGTGCAAAAGGACTGCACAAACTTGGTAAAAACATAGCGCTAAAACTTTACCTCGTAAAATACGCAATTTGTAGACCGCGTGTCTTTCATTGCTTATGCTATAGTTTAATATCCAGAAAGCTTATATATATAGTTAAATGGTATAATATCGATTATAATTTCTGGTTTGTTATATTTGTCACATGATCCTGAATATTTTGAACAATTAGTATGGCTTGTGTTTTGTGCCTATCAAAGTTTAGCTATACGCTAAATTTCAGTGAGCAATATTATGATGTTCATTGGGCGACTTCCTTGTGGTTCTATTTTTTTCATTACCTTCATACAATCTATATCATTTGTACAATTTGAGCTTTTCCGCGTTCCCGAGTTGCGATGTGTTTTATTCGGATCGCCCTCGGCCGGTGAACGTCGGCGTCCACGATCAAGCGCTTCAAAAGATCTATGTCTATTGTTGATACAATTATTGCGATGTAGTTTAATAGTTATTTACATTTATTTCATTGTTTACACAACTATATAAGGGTTTTAATCATTGCATACTATAGATATGCAGTTATCCGGTTTTGCTCCTAGCCTATAACGCCGGCTGCTTCGTATCTATCCCAATGACTATTTAAACGACTTCCAACAACCACACAACAACTATGCAATTCTACGTAATGCTGCTTTTAAGGTATATATGGCTAGAGACGTTGCATGTTTGTGCGCGCGTTGAACTTTGGCTTTATGGAAACAACAAAAGTATTAAAGCATAGATTCTAACCATTGCATTGCCGCGGCGTTCAAAAAACAATAAATTTTTGAAAATAGAAAGCTTTTTCAGTTTATGACTTGAAATTTGACCTTAATGACATAATTGCATGCACTGAACGCTAAGAGAAATCTTGAAGCGCACGAAATAGCATTCGATTCGGCTAAAATGATATAACCCCTCTACAAGCCTTCTGTTAAGGAACTGAATACGTTTCTAGGAATATTATGTGTTACACATTCGTCGCTTCTTCTATAAAGTTGTAACATTGCAAATGTTTAATCTAATGTTCTACCAAATCCAATGCGATTGAACAAAATTCCGGCAAACGTTCCAACGAACGGTAAATCAAAACGGTTGAACGCTTTTGGAACTATTTTCGAACTTTTTTTCTCGAGGCGTTCGAACGGGGAATTTCGAACAATGAACGATCTCGAAAATCGTTTCAACGAACGCAAGAACGCTTGAAGTGTTTGAACCGGAAACGAATGAATAATGAACGATATTTTTCAAGGAACCAAATAGCGTTAACGTATGTTTTCCCGTGGAAGGCCACACATAAACAACAAAGTAAATTGCTTCGCACGAGTGGCAAATCACAACTGTTTGACTGTTACTGGTCTGCTTGCTTCTACTACCTATAATTAACTTTGTTGACTAGGTACATATGACATTGATCCAGTATTTATGTGTAGCTGTCAACGGAGCGTAATTAGCCCTAAAGCTGTTGGACGGCATGTATAATAACATATGTCTGCAGTCAGTGCAGTGGCATGACTGTGGCCATGTTCTTCAGGTATATTTTGCTATTGTTTTTACAATTTTACTCCATTTTATGATTTTAATATTATCCGTGCTGTACTGGGATTACGAAGCAATAAAGAGTAGTGTACGTGCGGATAGCGATCGAAGCTCTGGCTCCCTCATAGCTGAACATAAACAACGTATAATGTTACACCCGCTACTTGCGTTTACCTGTTAATCATTTTCCCCCTCCAGGTATATCAAACATGCCCATGCAACAGACAGTTGACATATTTTACCGTTGTTTGATTTAAACACCAGTATCATGGTCTACGATCAAAGGATTCCCCAAATCGTCTGGTTTCGTCCGTGAAATTGGGTATATAAATTCATCAAACCGTTTATACGGATGAATAGGCCCATCCAAAAAAACGGTTCATTTTTCTGTGCGTTTAAACGGTTATTCGTATCCGTCCAAACGCTTTCTCCAAAGCGTAAAAACGCTTTCTTGAAAGCGTTAAATTTTTTCATCGAACCGTTTTAACGTTTTAACGAAGCGTGAAAACGCTTTACGGCATCCGTTTACTAGCCGTTTGTAATCCGTTTTTTTGCCCATTTAAACGGAAAAGCGTCAATGTTTGTTTTCCCATGGAGGGTCACAAATGTTTCTGCGAAAAACTTAATATCAGAACCAGTACTTTCTGATACAGAGTCGTCCAAGCTTCTTTCTGCAGCATAAAAAATATTCGCACAGGTAGTGTTTTCTGAAAATGATGATACTTTTTTCAGGAAAATACTTTCCCAATCCAAAATGCTCTTCTTCTCCTCTCCATCTCTATCATATTCTTTCATATAGTAAACCATTCTCAGCGCATTTGTGGAATGAAGTGAATCGTCGGAGGCATTATTTCCAAACATTTTATTAAAATTATCGACGAGTCTTCTGCCATTGGCCATAAGAAAAGCATCGTTTTGTAGAACGGTCTGGATACGTTGTGTAATATTGGCAATCAAGTTTTCCTTTTGATAATCGAAAACTTCTAACAGGTTTGTTGAGGCACAACTTCTATTCAAGTTTTTCCTATAACAGTGTTCGTCGTAGTGATCTATATCTGTAATAATGTTGTGTAAATCGATCATTTCTGCCTAACATTCTTGCGACAGAACGGATTTGTCATGTTTAGGCAAAATAACCACTTCTTCTTGTCGTACTTCGAGTTCAAACCCTAGACTTTTCGCCTCTTTTATATCCTGTGATGCTTCACTGTTCTCGGGTAGGTACAAATATTTCACATTTTTGTCAACTTTTAACATTACAAAACCACACGTTAGGCCAATTGTGACAAGGAGACAACAAAATATTACTCGTAAAGGTCGACGCGAAATGAAGATAGCAGATATTTCAAACAGTTTTTCAAGAAATATGATCAAAATCATCTGAACCCATGCCCATTTCTCTCTGTAGCAATAACGTGACTTCGAGACACGATATTCCTCGTTCGTAATGTCAATATTATCAGCATTGCTCTTTGTCTTTGAATTGATACTGTCAAGAAGGTATAAACAATTAGCTACACTCAATATATTAACACGGAACGGCTAAAATGGGTACCCGATTGCGAACCCAATTTCATACGTGCTCATGCTACCAATACAAAGCCGAGCACAGATAAATGGGCAGGTATACCTATTTAACAGTGCCGTGCCTGTAAATTGAGCGGTAGCGTAAACGGGCCTTTATTTAGTGGTTGCGACGCTGAGATGAGGAATAACCGTACCGAGGTCATGAAATGAGTAAATTATTTTAGTAATGCGTGCAACATGTCTAACCCAGTATTTGATTATGAATTGAGTATTATAAATGGTTAGCAACACCTGACAATGTGTTACGAAGTTTTAGAAACATCCGGTCTATTCGAGTGAATTTTGGATATGTTGAATAGCTACCATTCGACTATTCATGTTTCGTGCAACGCGTTTTTATCTATAACTATATTCACTTGTTTAGCAGATTCACACAGTTTATGGTACATTTATTGACCTTTCGAACAACCGGCCTCCTTATTTCTGCGCCGCCTGAAATTTTTGCTCTAACCAGTTTCAACTCGTCTTAAACTCACGCATGCGCATATCTCACAAAAGCCAAACGTCCATCATATAATGGCGGACAACTTCAATTGCGCATTTCCATTCCCGGGCGTAAATAAAAACCTCGGGGCGGTATTACCACCCGCGCCCGGCGTTTCGCACCGACTCGGGGATTACCAGCTTTTGGGTTGTTTCTGCATTTCGGTTCCTCTGTTATGACGCAAGAAGAGAAAGTGTCACATTTTTTTAGAATTTGAACGCGCATAAGCATCGTTAATATTGGCCTTTATTGGGTGCAAATTTGTCACTAGAAAGATTTTTTTAGGAATAGAACAATCAATTTTTTACCTTCTACTTGTAGTTTCAGCAACAGTCGTTCTGGTAGTCATCCTCGCCTTTAATTGGCACGAGATTGCCAAACCTTGTCCCTGAAGAAATATATGAGTAGCCACGTTATATTTTTGCAAACGTAAATGTTATTCGGGCGTATTCTAGAATAGAATTTAAATTTCGAGACCATCAGAGAATTTTATACGGATCTTGGATTTGATGTGTATGGGAGCAGCGGAGTAACTAGAATGATCATTGGGCAACCTCGTTCCCAGGGCCTTTTCCCTAGGGGCTAGCGGAAAGTAGAGGAAAGGCCCTTGGATCGGCCTGTAATGACTGACATTACTAGCTACATATTACTAAGTAAATTTCCTATTGCTTGAACAGCGGTAAAAAATAATGTAGGTCATCATCAGGCCCCATTCACAAGTAGACGGGAACCAAACGAGATTATTGTGAGCAGATACATAATTATACGCTTAATGTACCTATTTTTAGCTCGCCTGCACTTTAGTGCAAGAGAGCTATTGCTATAGTCTTGGCGTCCGCGTCCCCGTCCCCGTCCCCGTCCCCGTCCCGTCCCCGTCCCCGTCCCCGTCCCCGTCCCCGTCCCCGTCCCCGTCCCCGTCCCCGTCCCCGTCCCCGTCCCCGTCCCGTCCCCGTCCCCGTCCCCGTCCCGTCCTCGTCCCGTCCGCGTCCACACTACATGATAAGTAGAATGTTAAGATGCCACTTTTATTTTCCCATTATTTTCAACTTATCTACTTAAGGAGTCTATTTGTTGCAAAAGAACCATTTACCAGGGGGGAGTGAACATTATACAACAAAATATAATGATAAGGTCAATGTTAAAATGCTATATTTTTTCTATACTTTGGCTTTACATCAGAGGAATCATTATCAATATAAGTCATCAATATGCATTGTGACTATTTATTGCCATTTGGTACACATTTATACAATAATAAAGAGAGTTTTGCTCAAAATTATCAAATGATAAGGTGAATGTTAAGCTAATTAGCATAATGATAAGGTCAATGTTAAGATGTTATATTTTTTAAATATTATGGCTTTGCATCAGAAGATTCATCATAAATATAGCTCATCGATATGTCTTGTGACTATATGGTGACATTTAGTACACATTTACACAAAAATAATGGGAATTTTGTTCAAAATTATCAAATGATAAGGTGAATGTTAAGCTAATTAGCATAATGATAAGGTCAATGTTAAGATGTTATATTTTTTAAATATTATGGCTTTACATCAGAGGAATCATCATAAATATAAGTCATCGATATGCATTGTGACTATTCAGTGCCATTTGGTACACATTTATACAATAATAAAGAGAGCTTTGCTCAAAATTATCAAACGATAAGGCAAATGTTAAGCTTATTAGCATCATGATAAGGTCAATGTTAGAGTTATCCAGAGTTATCACGCTCATTACGATTTTCATGGCTATTGTGTAGCCCTGTTTTTTTTAGTTCAAAGTTGTAGCTGAATCATATTTAACGAAACTATTTGTACAACCCTAAGCCAAATGAGAAACTTTCAAATATTTTCACCCGTATGCTACCATTTGTTTGTATTGTACATGTACAATTATAAATTATGAGATTGTGTTGTGGTTAAAGTTTAAAGAATATTGTCAGATAATTCGCAATTACAAGCTTTAGCACATAAGTATTTATAAGTAGAAAGCCGATAGGCTCGGAATGCAAAGGCAAATGGCAACGCATGTGACATAATTTGCATATTATTTATGTAGATACACATGCAAATATATTATTAAAGCACCTATAAGATTTATGTACATACCTTTTCGTTGTTTGATGCATAATCCTTTTTTGTGTAGATATAAAAATCCAATCTTGTTTATTTCATAAAGCTAGGCGCACACACGACGATTTTAGTCGGCCGATTCCTGTCTAGATTGTCCAGATGGATGTTTTCATCAAAATGTGGCGACTGGCGATCTATACTTGTCAGATTAGACCAAGTCACCAAGTAGACTCGCGTACACGCGCGAGGCGCGAGCGCCGCGAGAAGGAGAACATGTCTGGGCAAGGGCTGCCTATATGTCTAAACCAGAATGGACCAACTACCGTAAAATCGTTGTGTGTGCGCCCGGCTTAAAGCAGGGACTTTTGCCTGGTCCGTTAACTTACCTGTTGATATCACGTGCACGGATTGCGAGAAACGGAAGAAATATTGGTCACAAATAAAACTAATGTAATTCCGAGGCCAGTTTTAGCCAGTAATTCTGAGGTCACAACTAATATCTGAAGTTTGTGCTTAATATTACCTTCCAACGCGGATTTTAGCCTTGTAATTTGTAATAAAAAGATCGGTAATTTGTGCTTCATACAGATACCTTTCATACAGAGTTTAGCCTTATTCTAGACAAACAGTGCAGGCGAGCGTAAGGTGATTTCAGCACCTCTCTGGTTGTATCTGCGAGCGCAGATACATTGGTATCGGGTTTGAAAGTTTGTTAGGTTAGTTTTGTTGTTTGCAGCCAATGAGAGACGACGTGCTAAACAGCAACCAATCGACCAGCGTTTTACATCCGTATTTTCGTTTTATCCAACAAAAGTGAACAAAAGCCAACAATTAGTATTTGTGGATACAAAATGGCCTATTTGCAAGCAGGCAACTTCTATCAGTACATAATTTGACAAACATGTCATATGGCTATTCAATTTACATCTAATTCTAGCGATGCATGCTAAACTTGTCTAGTACTACCCTAACATTTGCACTTTAATTGATAAACCAATTTGAAAAGAAATTTAACAACAAACAAATTTAGCAGTTTGAAAGGTTGTAACTGTAGGCATTCCACAGAAACAAAATATGCTTAAAGTTTAACAAACATGAATCTTGCAAATGAAAATGTCAACAGCATCATTTAGTATATAATATTCCTATTTATCCTATTTATACACCAAGTTACCAATGAAATATCAGCATGAGCTGTAACTTTAAGCACTGTTTACACCAAAAAAATAGGTCAGCTCTACATCTAGCTTTGAACTTGATTTTCATTTTTGTAGTCAAAATGCATTTTCGTGAGGTCTAACTTCTAGAACCAAAAGAAGAGGTGATCCAGATTTCCTGGTCCAGGATAGGCTGAAATGTGGTTTAATTACAAAAACTTATTCCAAAGGTACACCTAGGGTTGTAGTGTAAAAACTGCTTTAGTCATATAACCATAACATTTTCAGTTATTTATCCCAATATTTCCATAGACCGCCAATGAAACAAAATATCAACATTTGTTAGGATTTTAGTCCAATAAGCATCCAAATATCGTCATGCACAAAGTCACCAATAAAACAGAATAGCAACAAGTACAGCATGTCGCCCAGTTTTCGGAGAGTACCAGTATTTGGACAGCTCAGTTACATTGCTAAACTTTCTTTTAATAAACAAAAGGAAAAATTCACACAATATGTTCCGATCATTTTCTGTTATGTTGCGAATGTTTTTGCGTTTTGACGTGTTTTTTTGTTTGCTTTCCTCGGAGTTATGCATTTTTAGCAAAGGTAGGTCAATAACTTTTCTTTCAAAATTGGGTAGTTTACCGCGACACAAATTTGTATGAACACTTCAAAAACTGATTTCTTAGGAGCCCGGTCACGAAACGTAACAATTTTTACATGAAATAGGGGTTTAAAAACCTCCTTTATGTTGTAAAAATGTGCGACTCTTCCCGCATATTTACGATGAAGTGAGATTTTGAATCTTCATGCCATTTTTTATATATCTTGTCCTAATTTCGGACAACGACGTGCTGTTAAACAAGCAATGATGCAACTCGTAGTTTTTCATTGCAAAAAAGTTTAGTAAGATGCAAAATGATGCAAAAATATGCTTTTACTCCAATTCTTGATTATATACTGCAATTCTACGGATTCCAATTGTGACCTATAAGGCTATAATTTTTTATATTTTTTAGCGCAATGAACATGACTTTAACTGTTTCACGTTGTACTGTCTCATTTCATTAATGCTTTTCACCTGTCATATAATGTAGATTATGAAGGATAATCCTATCAGCAGGGATAGTCAGGTGGTGGATTCAGCAATAGTTCACTAATTTGCATCACACAAGAAAACTGCTAAAAATAACCACTTTGTTTTGTAATGCAAACTAGTGCACAAGTGCTGGATCCACCCCTGACGGTAGTGGTATGGAATACCTCATTTGTCGGTATATTCTAAAAACGTTACTAATAAAATTCACTTGTTATATATTGTTGGCACTAATTATATGTAAAAGGTCGTCACATGAATGAGTACGTTAACTAATGTTTAAATAAAGCCGGTTTTTCACTAACAATATTTTTCGCGCGAAGCGAATTTATTCCTTTGTATTTGAGCAATAGAACTTTTTAGCCTGCATGCAAATTAACCGATTTCAGATGTTATGACCATGGAATAGCCAATAAAACTTAACCATTTCAGACCATGTGACTTGAAATGGGTTAATTTGCATACAAGCTGAAAATTTCTATTTGTTGCAAATGGATGCAGTTGAGAGCTCTGAAACAAAATTAAAATCATCGCCAGTGGAAAACCAGCTTAACGTTCGCTATGTCTTGAATGGCAGACGTCGTACGCACGACTTGAAAACCTGAAAGATATCAAAACGTATGAAACTCTCATACGTTTTTAATTATTTGTGGCGACCATCATTGATAGCCACCATCTTCGTGTTGCCGTCCTATATGACCTCTGATTCCTTAGCGTACCTATTTTTATGTATTTTAAAGAAATCATTGACTTTTAAAATTTTGTATCCTGTTTTGATATTTATTGCGAATAACATTTCATCCTGGTGAGATACTTTGCCACAAATTTTCACCAACTTATCTCTACAGTGAAATTTGCACACATAAATGCGATTTTCCATTACCGCCGCTTCACCCGCGCGGACCTTCACCATCTCTCTTGCTCAAATTTCTCACTATTTTCTTAATTAGCCATTCTCTAATACTCATGCTATAATCCCAATTTTAAAGGTTCGTATATATCAGAGAAGTGGGGGGCCACAAGAACACTGCCGTTGCCCAGTGGCCT